TTTTAATTCCTTGAAAATTCTTTTGAAAAAAACAATTTTTCAAGAAATTTTTTTCAAGAATTTTTTTTTTAATTTTTCAAAGAAAATATATTTTTTTAAGTTCTTCCCAGAAATGCCTTAATATGCAAGATTATGTCCTAAAACATGCTGCCAAGTGAATATTTTGTGTTTAAAAGTCCAAAAATATTTTATATGAATATTTCAAAAATCACCAAAAACATGCCTAACCCTAACCCTAACCCTCTAACCCTAACCCAAGTGATGATCAGCTGAAGATCAACTGAAGACTTTCGACTAAATGTCCACCAAGGATCTTCCGAGGGAAGATCAACCGACTTGGAGTCTTTTTTTTTTGAAAAAAAATTTTTAAGAAAGTTCTTTTACAAAAATGTTTTTTTAATTTCTTGAAAATTCTTTTGAAAAAAAAAATTTCAAGAACATTTTTTTATAAATTTTCAAGGAATGTTTTTATAAAAAAAATTTTATGAAATTTTTTCTAAAAGGGGGTTCGGTGAGTCAGACTCAAGGGTTCAGCGGAGGACAAGACACAAACCCGACTCATATGATTCGTGATGACACGCCCCCCGCTTATCCATTACCGAAGGGTTCAGTGAATGTGCATATGAAACTGGTGGGGTCAGGACCTCCAACAAGGTTAAGAACCACTGATCTAGGCCAATTGGTGTTAACAATGTTACAATTTTGACCCATAATTGATGGAGGAATTTAATCAAACAATTCATGGTGTTTTTATATTTACAACTGGTCAGATCAATTTTACCCTTGAGATCATGGCAGTATAAAGTTATTCTCCAAGGTAACATATGGGAGTTCGTGGAGGTTTAATCATAGACAGTAGATGAGAAACAGGCCTAGTTGATTAAACTCACAAATTAAAAAGTGAATCTTTAAAGTAACAGATGCCACCTGCAGCCAGATGGTCATAACCATCCATAGCTGTTTTCTGCCCTATCTGTCTATGTTTTTGTAAAATCTTGATTAAAAAATGGAGGGGGTGCACACTAACAAATTGATATAATGTTTTAGTGCAAAGAAAGCATTTCCATCTGGGGCTGAAGTCTCTAGATAAAATATTAAATTCTACGGTGGAGAAGGCACAGAGGCCTGACATACACTAAACTGCTAACAGAGTACATCATGGATAATTTTGTCCCTTACTGAACTACTTCCATGGTGTGGAAATCTTTTACACGGGGTTTTTCCTCTCTGCTAAAAATCGACCCCATGCAAATATTTCACACTGAAAGCCTTGTTTAAAAAATGAATGGATTCAGTCAAGGGAAACAAATTGGCTCGACTTAAACAGTGGAACAGCAAGTTGTGCGAATACAATATTATTGTGAGTGGCACGTTTGACAGATACAGGCTGTAAAACCTGGTTGAAAAATGACAATTGTTTTGCTTCAAACTACACTCACATCTAAAGAGAAAGTGCCTCCCTGTGGCCTGAAAATGTTTTTACCTGCCAAAAGAGCCCTGCAGAAACTGTATAGGAACCACTGTAATAAGTAAAAGTCATACCTGGTCCTCCTCTCCTCCTCCCTCCTCGTCATATTTGAGGATGTTGTCTCTTACATCATCCTCAGGATCGATCAACAGTGGCTTTGCCTGCCGCTCTTTCTCCCTGCGCTTCATCCACACCACAAAGAGCAAAACCATGCCTGTAAGGACAAAAAAGTATTAAAGTATTAAATTCAGGAAATGTCCTATTTTATGAGATTTTTACTATGTCTGATAGATAAAATGATGAGGTCAGGTTTTATTCTTGAACTCACTGAGCAGGATGATGATGCAAATAAGTATTGCAATGATGGCCCCAGTGCCCAGTCCAGCAGCTGCTACAGCTCCAGTGGCACTGCAGTCCCCATTGTCATCACAAGGGCACACCTTGATTCTGATCAGAGAGCGATTGGACAGAGGAGGGTTTCCCGAGTCAGAAACAATGACAGGGATCTCGTACACACCTGCTTCCAGGTACGGAATTCTTAGCCTTAGTTGAGCGTAGTCACCTGGAATGTGGAAATAGAAAGAACATTAAAAGACTGAGTGGAGTTGATGGGAAGGAAAAACAAGGACAATAGGGATAATAGGATCACAGTGTCCAAAAATCTATTTTGATTATGGCAGGACGTCCTGTCATGATGTTAAAATGACACATCAAATAAAATATACAACAAAAAAAAAATAATTTCAAGTAGCCGATGAAATAAAAAAAAATAAAAAAAACATTGTGAATGTATAACCTTCAGCATCGATCACTCAGTCAACCTAAGACAAGAGGCTCAGTGGGAGCACAATCCAGGTATGTGATCAGATTTGTCCTCGAGACAACTGCTGTGATACATCCATCTGGGTGGATTAGGTGACAGATCGGCTGCTTGGGGAACAGAGAGATGAATGGATCTCATTTGTCTCAAATGCTGGATCGTACGTCAGTGCAGGATGGCAGTCTCTTCTTTCACTCGGAGCTTTGTAAGCCACTTTTTTCAATGTCCTGGCCCCCCAGTTGATGCCTGCAGTTACTCTGCTGAGGGGGTTTTGGATCCCAGACCTCACATACATTATGTTTATGCCCTTGGTCTTATGGGGGCTGCAGAATAATGGTGTGATACCCTCATACTTTAAAACTTTCACATCAGTGGATTCAGATTTCCCAAATCCAACATTAAGGCTCAGTATTTACTTACCACTCAACCTTGAAATCGTCCAATTGCGGCGGACGCTGCCAGGGAAAGACGGCAGTTCAAAGACAAAAGGACCCACATTAGGATCTGCATCTGCATCGGATGCTGTGATGTTGATCCTGGAGTTGGGGTGTGCACGTTCGCACACTTGGGCCTCACGGGGAACCAGCACTGGAGCATTGTCATTGATATCAATGAGGAAGATCTGGAGGGTCCCTGTTCCACTGGCCTGAGGTGAACCTGTTAGAGGCAAAGAGAACGGAGAGGAGAACAAAGAGATAATGTCAGTAATGATTGAGTGAAGGGGAGGAGGGAGGAGGGTGACACAGTGGAAGAAGTGGTTTGGGCTCTTGCCTTACAGCAGTGGTTCTCATTTATTTTCTGTCATGTCCCCCCTTGGGGACAGAAATGTTTTTACACTCCCCACCCACAACCAGGCAAAATACTATTGCGAACCTGATAACATGTATATTTATATCTGTACAAAACACTGTATGAATTGCTGCCACCTAGTGACTGGAGGTTGTTATCGTTCAAGCATTACAACAGCGGTACACTTATGTCCAGTGTGCTATATTCCTTTGGACGCCTCTCACACCCCCTGTGGCACCGCACCGCGCCCCCCCATGAGGGCCCACCCCACTATTTGAGAAGTTCTGCCTTACAGAAATAAGTCTACTTGTTTGATTCCTGGTCTTCTGTTATAGAGGTCACATATTCTCTCTGTGTGTTAAGGTTTTCTCAAAATCATGCAGCATTAGTTTGTGCTCCTCCCTCTCTTGATTACTGTTGGGGTGGGCTCTAGTTCCTAGCTCCCTGATTAAGCGGTAGAGAATGAATGAATGCATCAGACAGAATGGTTTTAGAGATGGTTTGATGAAAACCTTACAGCAGAATGAAATAAAAAATAAATGTAAACTCACTAAAAATTTCTCTGCGGTGTCATATCATAAAAGAGGCAGAAAGGGAGGGTCCCACCTCGACCAACGGCGGGGGAAAAATGTGTTGTTTACTGAGCCAGTGAACGTGTCAGATTTTTAGTGTATACATTTGTGGTGGCACACTCAAACAAAAGAGGTGGAACAAATAAAAGGACACATAAATGTTTCAGTGCTGGCAGTTCTGTGAAAGGTTTCAGTGTGACTCATACGGTAAGGGACAAGGCTCACATAAAGATTGGCGTTATCTGCACTCTGCAAAGCCCACTGGGAAATTACTCTAACCCTGCACTGCATCGACAAAACAGACATTATAACATATTCATTTTTTTTCTCTTGACTGACTGCCAGACCAGATCAAAACCAAATCGGGTTAGGAGAGGCATTGTGTGATGTTTGATTTAGTTTGTTTACAGCAGCACCTATAGCACAATTACGGCACACATCGAGCCCAGACTGCTCTTGTACCAGCCCGAAAAAATGTTGTTTTTCTGTCACCGCTTCTGTTTCTACAGCTTCAACACAAGGCTGTGAATCAGAGTCTGAAAAGCAAAGTTAATGTGTTGGTCTTTCATGAGTCAATAGTCACAAAAAGATTTGTTCTGTGGTTATAACAGAGTGCAGGGTTAAACATTTTTTAATTGAGGTTCTGCAAAGTCAAGACTTCCTATTTCTGCTCTCTATCACCAGCCTCTTGTGAAAAAATGACAGAACTTGACAGAATTAAACTTATCTCACATCCTTCCATAAATCAACATTTGGATCAGAGCAGTTGGCAACCTGTTTGTTTAATCAGCTTTGAATAACTTGTGATGAAACCAAAAGCAAACAAACCCCAAAAAACACACAAGCTGAGATTTTTGATGACTTAACTCTTATGATAAATAATAGAGATGGATGTTTCTCCATTGGCTTTCATTTGTTTTTCCCAATTGACCAACATTATTTAATACAACAGACATAAACATATATTCAATAAAATAAACTAATGTTCAATGGAGCTCTGGGACACATTTGGACATTTTCTTATCTCTAGTTTGTGGTTCACATTAATAAACAAAACACAAATGGAAAAAGCTTTTTTGTATATATTTTTAAATATTCTTAATGCATATATTAAAAACTTTTCACTTTTTTAATATACACCAACTATTTTTAGGTCACATCATCTGGGCCAATATGATCGGACAACCCTAATATTTGATTAAATGTATATCAAGTTACTTGGTGTTTATAATCTTATTTATAATTTATAATCAAATAACCTGCTTCGGGCAGCATTCCTGATAAATCTGAAGCCATTCCTCAAAAGCCTTTTGCTACTAAGGATATCTAGGATAACCTGATACTTAATCATGTATATGTCTTGGAATTCAAATGACAGAACTCAACAGGTGCCAGTGCTAGTCGAAGCAGAGCATCCACAGAGAATCAACAGGCATCTGCACGACTTCAGAGTCACTAAATGTTTCATTTACTCTCATCTGAGGACCCATGTGAGTTTTTAATCCAGGTACACTTGGACAGTTCACTGTGTCATCGCATGGACACCTATAGAAACAAATAGAATTACACTCAAACCAATGGCCAGTTGAGAGTGACCAGTTTAGTATAGCTTCCAAACTGACTTCTCACTTCTTACGGAATGACCAGCAAATGAACCAGTAAACCAGCTGTAAGGCAAGAGCACTTTCTACTATTCCGCCGTGTGGATGAGACACATTTGTTTTGTAG